CATACCATGCCATGCCATACTGTACTTAGTTGTAGGCTGAGGGAAATTTAGGCCTGGGTAGAAGGTCGCTGTTTCGACCTTTTCCCAAAGAAAAACATTAAGAATGTTGACCTGTCTGGCGTCCTTATCGTTCCGCAGCTCATGAGGCTGTGGTGACGATTGCGGTTAATTAATTATTTGTTTGCTATGTTCCCACCCCGAGTCAAGATCACACGGCCAGCGATCAGTTAAAAGCTTTCATAATAACAGAGAAACGAGAAAATTTGGGTTAGTGAGTAAACACAGGGAAGATTTACTTGTTGACCGAACGTGATGAAATGTGTGGGTTCCAGAAAGAATAGTGTTATCTTTTTGCCGACTTTCTGTCTCATCTTTTTAATGTGACTAGGGAGGAAATAATACTTGATATATATGGAGCTGGGGTGGGGGGTGGGGGGTTCTCTACAAATAGAAAGTGAAAAGTATTCGAACCATAGATTAGTTGGCACAAAGGCAGCTTTGTGACGGAGATACGGATTTATTCCAGCGTGCACACAGCTTTGGTAACAGCCTGGACCAAAGACTGGCAATATCTAAATTTTTGCGTGTTTGGTTCTATTTTTGGAAGTGGCTTTTTTATATGTATACAAAGAGTAGGGCTAAAGATACCTGGGGTTGTTTTTTTAATTCAGCAGGCACGCTTTTTCGATTCTGCCTGTCAGGGCCAACCCAGGCAGAGATGGATACAACGTCCCAGCCAAAGGACTTAGATAATCGATAAAAAATTTTCCCGCACGAGAATCGAACTCTCATCTTGTGTGTGCGACATCGAAGCGCCTAACTGCTACACCACAGACGCCGATAGCGTGTTCCGAGAGGCAGTATGACTTAAACAACATCGGGATCATATGGTCAAGCTTCAATACGAAGAAAAAACGGGTCTGTGGAGTACTGATTATTTTCTCCGCCATGAATGCTAAAGACGTGAGTTCTATGCCCATGCGGAGAGGATACGTTATGTGATATCACCATCTTTCTTCTAGGACTTATCTCACAGTTCTTGCGTTGGTCCTATTTGGCGATATCAAAGCAGCTTCCCATCTAAACGATTGGAACCGTGGAGATGATTTGCAATCATTTTAGAAGCTTAATTATTGTAGACATTTATTCAGATTTAACGGGGATGGGGGGGGGGGAGAAACGTTCTATCAGCCAGGAGACCAGTGCTTCACTCTCAGTGGACAGGGGCAAAAACAAAACAAACTACATGTATATGTATTCATAAAAGAGAGAATATCCGCATACGTATGTGCTTTTTCCTTTCTGATTGGCAGCAGCCTACAGCTGAATGCATAATTCATGATGATCTAAGGAGGGATATGCATAGACAACATGAAACGAGGAGATCTGGAAATGCGTCAGAGAATGGCCATGTAGTGTAGTGGATTCTGTTGTCAATGTGAACGCTCTGCATTGCGTTTTTTCTCCATCTTTTACCGTTTGTCTGTCTCACCTTGTCAAGAAAAAGCATAGCAATTATCATCACCTCCCCCCCCCCCCCCCCCCCCCCCGGCCAAACGATCTAAATTACTGTGTCGATAATGGCGTAAAACACTGACAATGCATTACAACAGATAGAGCCCCTCACCTGTGGTTCTATTGCAATGACCCTGTGGCCCATGGAGGCGGCCAGCAGGCTGTAGTAGCCCACGTTAGCGCCCACGTCTATCAGCGTGGCCTCGGGGCGTCTGTCCAGGGCCTTCTGGAGCGCCTTGGTGATGTACGGCTCCCACACACCGGAGCTCAGGAGGCTGGCGGAGATGTACTGGACACGGAGAGAGAGAGTCTAAGTTATGAGCTCTGTTTGTAAGATGTACAAGAGCTGTCCCGAAATTAATTAACCAAAAAATGGTTGTAAACGAAAAATATTGTAGTTACAATTTACTCAGCCAGTGGGCTAAACATTCGGTTTATTTCTCAACAATAGTCAAGTATTTTTCTCGTCTCTGCATGAGTAAATGCATACCACCCCCTCCCCCATCCCCACCCCGTCGAATGTTTGCGTCAAGCGACCGAACTCAATCTCTGGCGTGCAATGTTTGTGTCATCGGTGATTTACTTCCTGTCTTGATATCGTTGCATTAGTTCAAAGAGGGGCAATATCAAAACGGTGATCCAGAAAGCATTCACTAGATTCTTGAAAGTCACCAGCTGTCCTGGGCGCCATGTGTCATGTGCATCGTCCCAACAATGACGTGCAAACATATGTGTTCTGTGCCTTGTGGTCATCTCTCACTGTGGAACCCAACGAGCTGACACTTTTCTGTGTCATTTCCCGGCTCATTAAAGACAAATATTTGAACCGTGATCTATAAAGATCTAAAACATCAGTAATGCTATGAATTTAGTAACTTCTGTCATGACGAATGAGCTGTGTAATGCATTCAGCTGTTTTTCTGTATTTTCAGACAAATGACGACCCCAATGTTTCTTGTGTGGATGTGAATGTTTGTAAACTCTTCTTTAAATGAATTACACTAATGGTGGACCTTTGACTTGCTCAAAATATTATCACCATAAACACATTCAAGGCCTTCCTGAATTTCATTGGGAATTTGTACTTTTTGCGTGAAGAAACCAAAATACAGCACTAGTCTCTTGTTTTGACAGATTCTGTATAATGGTTCTCATTCTTTGTTATGATGTAGTATAATATTTGCATCCATTTAATTCATTCTAATCTTGCTCCCAAATCGAGTATTCCCTGAACTACAAAAAAAACTGAGGATTTTTTTCGGCCGACGGGGGGGGGGGGCAATCTCATAGTGGCCATTGAGTTTTGGCCATTGAGTTTGACTCGCGTCCCACTCAGCTCTAAGGGCTCTAACGAGTAAGGTTCGAAAAGCCTGTCTTCTAAATGATCTAAATTGTGTCGTCGTATCGATCGATGGGGACGTAAAAAATATTTACAACTACAGTGGGGGGGTTCGTAACACGTTTACTTCGATTATTTGCCTCGTCTCTCAGCAGGCATTCTGGGTGTATCCTTAACTGTCAGCCTATGATGCCAACTGTTACTATGCAAATTTGAACATCAACCCACCCCCACCCCCCACCCTATCCCTTTTCCTTTCCCATCTGCCCCATTTTCCTAACTGTTGGCCTGGTTTTCCGCATTTGAGGCTGTGTGAATTCTGAGCGTGTTTTGTTCTATAAAACCCGCCGCTGGGTAACACATTGTTTCGCTCCGGCTTTTCAGACTGCTCAAATGAAAGAGAAGGGCGAGGGCATTAGGTGGAATTTGGTCTGGGGAATCACCAGACTGAGGTAACTGAACATTTGGCATATTTTTTGTCTATCCTTCTCCCCCTCGTACTGTTTCTTGGAGAGTAGCGAGACATCTAATTCAGCTTTGTTACTCAGACCTAGTATCATTGTGCTTCCCTGCCGGGACACTCCGATGGCTTCATTAATATCGGGCTGGGTTGTGGTTCGGGTGTCCCTGGTTTAAATCCACAATGGAGCGTTCTCTGACTTTGACTGTTTTCGAAATTGTCAAGATTCTCAGGTAAATTGACTCGATTCTTACTGATGAGGCAAGGGCTTTCCCGGTGCATGAAGGCTTAAAATCGCCAGGAGAAACTTCAGAAGGACCGCTCCACCACGGCCTGTTGGAATCTTTTAAAAGACTTTACGTTGTTCGGTAATGATGATCTAAATTGTGTAGATAGGGTGTAACATATTTACAAATAGTAATTTACAAGAGACCCATGTCGTTGTGATTTCTTGTTGCTTCATTTCAAATACCCTATTGCGCTAAAACGCAATCTGGAAGATTTTGTTTTATCCCAGAGATACATTCGCAGCAGGCTTTAGAGCGTGCAAGTGCATTATCGACCAAACTTAGACAAACTGAGTGACTGGTTCGTGTTGATTGTGTTAATAAAAATGTCATTCTAACCTATTCCTGGCAAAATTCCAGTGTTTGGGGGTGCCACTGGTAGTCTTAATTTATTTTATTTTCATTTTTTAAAAATCAGTCTTTCTTGCTTATTCCCAGCCCTGTACGGCTGTTATTTTGTCAACGTGCTTCTTTTTATTCGATTGAACTAGCAGAAATAAATGTTAGACACGGCGTCGCCATGGGATACGTATGTGCTTTGCCGGAGTTCGAGGTTTGAATGCTGGTCGGATCTAAAACACTTTTCCCGCCTTTCCAGGAATATGTCATCCAAACCATTTGTCCTTCAGGTGCCCCAAATTCCCTGCCTTTGAAATGGTCTGCCTGGTTTCTTGTAGAGTAGTACTCTTCTACAACGATCGCAACAATAACAGTAACAACAGCATTGGCGACAACATCGACAACAACATAAGCAGGCACCGTCAGAAACATGAAGTTAATTTTGTCAACCGCAAAAAGCAACGACAAGAACAACAATTGAAGAGTGCTTTTCCAAAACTCTGTAAGTCGGATTTGACGAGCACCTGATATCGTCTCGACGCTTTCCCCAATATTTGTATTTTGTATGTGTGTAGCGTTGTGGTGAAATTAGGCGCTCGTCAAAACTGACTTACAGAGTTTTGGAAAAACCCTCTTCAATTACAACAATGGCATCGATATCATCATCAACAACAACAACAACAACAACAGTAACAATTACAACAACAACAACAACAACAACAACAACAACAACAGCAACAACAACCCCACCATCAGCAACCATAGAAAGCTGTAAAAATACTCACTTTATCCTCTAGAGGTTTGTATAAGCAGATCATAAAAGCTGGGGTGGTTTTAGTTGTCGTGCAGGTGAAATCGTCCTCTTGATCATTGGTCAGTACCCCACTGTTTGGCCGCTCGCTCCGATGTCCGTGTGGTCGTATGTCCACCACCCGGAATCTCTTCGGCAGTGGGATCCGTGGATCTGGGTGAAAAATTGAATGTAGGCTAATCGGCGATTTAGACAAGTTGCCATTTATTTTCAAGACTGCAGTACTTTTTCTGGATGGATTTTTATTCCAACACAATAGAGTGGATGACACCCCCCCCCCTCCCCAAGCACACATACACTCACAACGACTTTCTTTTGTATGTTTTCTGTCCTTACAAAGTTTTCCCTGCACTAGATGACCGTTTTTTCGTTCCCTTTGTCGTTTCTGGTTGTTTCTTCTGTGATGTATCCCTCTCAGCCCGGGTTGGTCCTGACAAGTAGGTTCGAAAGCCCGCCTCCTAAATAATCTAAATTGTGTCGATGGGAGCATAATAACATCTACATTATTACATTTAAAAGAATTAAGTTTGCGGTTGTAGTCATTTCTTTGTTGTTGTTTTTTTTCGCTATCACTAAACGACCGTTATTAGTTTGAGTGTTTCTTTTTACACAAACACAAAAATAAATAAACAAACATGTAACAAACAAATAAACAAACAAAAACAAAAATGGAGTCTCACGGATGGTGTCTGTGCGTGTACCTGGATAGTGTGACAGGTGTCGGTGGTGAGGAGGCAGAGAGGGAGGTGGCGAGGAGCCAAGGTCACTCTCCAGCACATCGTCGGTCATCGCGTGCAGCCACACCAGGATCACCAAGGTCATGGCCGCCGAGGCTATTATCGCTGTAGAATGAGAAAAGCATGTTCATGTCTTTATGATCAATTATTATAAAATGCAAATTATCCGTTTCAAATACTCACCTCTCAAACTGAGTTAATCTTGTTTGGTCCTCGGTTCCTGATACACCAAGCCCCTTGTATTTGATGGACATTAAATTACACAGACCATTCATTGCTGAAAAGAGCGTTTGATACACACTGTGCAATATTTAGTAAAACTCATTGTTGTAAGGTTTTCGAGAGGTGGGGGGAGGGGGGCAGGCAGAGAGATAGAGTTCTTCATTGTTTAGAAAACGAGTTGCTTTAGATTTTTTTTTCGTGCTTACTGTGTTGCCAAAAAGCTGTAAAAGCTCCTCGCACAACCCAGTTTTAAAACACACCTCTCTCGGGATTGTCTAGACTGTGGTACACGCCATAGTCCAGCGTGACACATGACCGGTTAACCCGACAGGGAAAACAGTGGTTAATCGAAAAGCGGCCCTTCTTGGAAAATCTGAAGACGCACTGGTTCTGAGCTTAGGGTTCATCTCTCCCTCCCTCTTTGCCCCCTTCCTTCCCCCCCCCTCTCTCTCTCTCTCTCTCTCT